CTGCGATTGAAAAACGAGGCGGGTTTGTTGTTTGCCAGGCAATTCCGGCGCGCGAAATCATCGCGATTCGTCGAGACGGACTTCATTGGTTTATTGCCATTAGTGCTATTTACTGTGTTCGGCGACTTCCACCTGTTAAAACTCTAACAAGTGTCTGCCTTGGAGAAGGGAAACAGCTCGTCGCTCTGCTAAAAGAAAAGAAAATCAAGTTTTGCTGCAGGAATTGAATTGCGTTCAATTTCATTTCTTTCAAATTAATTTAATGTAAAAAACAATTTGATGGTAACTGACAAATACGAAACAATTTGACAAATACGAAACAATTTGACAATAAGAAATAAATTGAAATGAACAAGCATTACAATTAAAACAGTTTGCTTCAAATTTGATCGTTTTTTCGTGGAAATCTAAAATATATTAATTTCTCTTTATTTCCTTAATTATGATTTTAGTTTCAAATTATTTTATGCACTATAATGTAATAATCTGCCTTGGAAAAAATGTTACAACCGCATTTGATGCGGCATTATATAATTAGTCGCTCATTTTCCCCAAAAATTCCAAAAAGAGAAATGCCTGTGGAAGGTGGTAAGTCGCCTTTGTGATCTCACAAAGCCCGGCCGGTGTACCTAACACCGCTTACATAACTCATTCTTGCAGGCGAATTTCCCACACGGGCGCAGAAAAGGCGTGGGAACGCCCGCCGCGGTCAATTAAAACGCCAAAACCAGCGAAAAACACAAAACACGAAACAAGCAGCCGAGTGAGGCGAGGCAGGAAAAGTTAATTAATCATTCAGCGCGTTCCCATTTGTTTGCAATTAGCGGCGGTGAATACAAATTCGGCGGGATGGATAAATTTTATTTCGGTTCGAAGCGGCAGCGCCGAGCTCCGAGTCGCTTGGTTGGTGAATGCGTGACTGGTGATGCTCACGACTCGTCCAAGGCCGCTTTTTCCTTTGTTGGCCCAAGGTCCAATGCAATTACCTCAGGCATACCAGAGTGCGTACTACACCGCGGCGGCGGCCGCCGCCGCTGCTGCCAACAGGTGCACCGCCCCCAACATCCACCGGGCCACTCTCTCCTCGCAGTGATATCCTGTGTTAGTGCTTAAACTTTTTCTTCGGCCCGTCCGACTTTGCTCGCTCGCCGAACGGTGTCGCTGCTGATCACTCTCGCAGCCTTGCAACCAACTCACATTTTGGGATCGATTTATTTCCTTGATAAGACAATGAGCCGAATAAGCCATAGGCTGACCAAACGAAAATTGCCAATAGAAATACTAGTTTATTGAGTTTTTATGATAAATCAAGTTTTTTAATATTTCAATCTAATCTAATGTAATAAAACATTTTTTTATGTTTGTTCAGTCATAGCACTGCAAATAGTGGCAAAAAAGTTTAAAACCTAAGGAAATAATCATGCAGTTCTTTTAATTATTGACAGGGCTAAAAATTATGAAACTTCTTAACTAATCTTTTATTGCTTCCCATTCGTAGGTTGTAGATGTAGAGTTCTTATTTTTTTTTTAAATATTGAATTTATCAAACAACAACAACAAAATGATCAAATTTTCTATTTCGCGAGAAATAAAACGAGATGGCCAGCAATGAACTTTTCCATTTTTCGGTCGACGCGAGAGAGGACATTCTATTAGGAGGGCAAAGATAGATGGTAAAGTAACTGTGTGTATTTGTCCGCGGGCGTGAAATCGAGCACGTCCCGGGGTAAGCGAGAACTTTTATGGCGACGGGAGCGAATTGGCGCAACGCGCAGTAAAAAGCCCCCGCGCTAAGCCGTCCATCGGTTTTGTGAGCTTTCAGCGAATTGGCGCGGGTGAAATTTTCGAAACCGGCCGATCGACGGACGGACGGGCGATGCAGCTGCGACGCAAATCCAGCCTACAATTTTGCCCATCTTTTATTTACACTCGGTAATGGCTGCAAATCGTTCGCAGGTCCTTTTAAATTGTGAAACATTTTTTCCCCAAATGGCCGCTCTCGATTATATGAACGGGGGAAAATGTTAAACGACCTCCCTGCCGAGGCGTAATTTTCCGAATCGGTGCATTTGGATGTAAAAAAAAAATGAAAATAAAGAGTATATGGAAGTCTGTTCCCAGCAGTGGTGGCGAGAATGATTAATTGGGCTAGGGGCGCACCTGGCAGGCGGAATTGTTGTCTCTGCACGCTAATGGCTTATTTATTTTCGCCAAATAAATAAAGTGGCTCGAATTTTCGTGTGAAAGAGAGAGAGCCGGGGCACATCAATCATGTTACGCACAGAGTTGCATTATTGCGAGAGAGCGAGAGAGTGTGTTTGTTCCAGCCAAGCCGCAAATTGATTTTACCACTGGCAACAGCCACACGCGCAACCGATCCACCCCCGGGCACCCCCTCGCACCGTTGTAAATAATAAAAACGGCCACCCACCTTTCTCGGCAAATATTTTCTCATTTTCTCTCGCTTTCACACAAAAGTGAACAAATATATTCCATCATCCGTCGCGAGGCGGCAGAAAGTTTATTTCCGCGACGACACAGATCGAATTTTCTCTTATTTATATTTTAATATTTGGAAACGCCGCCAGGATTTATTTAGTCATCTGCCGACGAAAATAAGGAAATATTCATTGCACTCGGCAATAAAGAAGAGTCGTGCTGGACGGGCGCCAATTTTTTCGAGGCTGCACCGCGAAGCGCCCCGGATTCTTCTTCTTGCATGCTGACCCAGCCTATTAAATATTTAATCCGAGACGGAAATAGAGAAAATAAAAAATGATGATAACGTCTCCAAGCGGGTTGTGTACAAAACTTGACCGGATGTTTTCTTTGGCTTTTTCACTTCAAATAAGTTTTCCGCCAAGCAAGAAAAGCGAAATATATAGGTGAGCAAAAACAACGGGCCGATCAAAGAAGAAGACGTAACCGCGCGGACAACTTCAGCCCGTCAAATCTGCTTAGTGGTCGCCGGCCCGAAAGTTTAATCTTTATCCGGGACAGGCCAATAGGCAGTCCGCTCTCCTCCGCCGCTCGGCCGGTTGCCTAAACACCTGCACTTTTGGCTCGACAGTGCCTCGTCCAGAGAAGAGAGAAAGAAGAGCTTCCTCGACTGAAAGACGGACGGACAGTTGCAGCCAACTTGGCGTCGACCCTCTTTTCATCCGACCGAAAAGCTTTACTTTCGAAGGTCCTCAAAGTGGTGTGCGGACGATAGTTTTTCCGGACGATAGTTTTTTTCTCAAAACGGACAATAGTACAACGCGGCGTTGCCACATAGTGCGCGCGCATTTTGAAATGAAGTGGCGGGAAATGGATGCGTTCAGCGGCTGTCACATGCAATTAAGGAGTGAAGTTTTTTTATTATTCCAGAATATGAAAGTTATAAAGTATTTAATTTTAATTTAATTTTAACTTCTTTAATAAAAATACTTAAAATATGAAAAGAAAAAAAAACGGAAAAGAGTGATTTTAATCTATTCATAGGACTGAAGTCACTGAAGTATTTTTTTTCCTGAATAATATACCTAAAAATATTAAATTTTATTTTAATTTTAACTTCTTTAGTAATAATAAATAAATATTATATTTAATATTATACAAAAATAGAATAGATGGATAATGGATAGACTTTGTCGTACGAAAAGACATATGTCAAAAAATCTGGCGAAGTTCCGACCAGAAGGAAAAATCAGATTTACAAGAGGCTGCAAAGTCGCCTGAAAAACCTCTGTGAAATATACTCCCTCGGAAACCAACTACCAAGCACTTACCTTCGGAAAGTGGCTCGTAACATTAACTTGGCTAGGTAGATGAATGCGCATTATTGTGACAGGATGAAATTTAATATAAGTGTAAGAGTAATGACAAGAAAATAAAAAAAATTCTTAGAAAAATGTAAATTTTTTATCATTAATTTAAAACAATTAACTTTTATTTTTACATTTAAAAAAAAATAACTTTTTAATAATTAACTATTATTAAAGAGGTTAAAATTAAATTAAAATTAAATACTTTATAACTTTCATTTTCTGGAATAATAAAAAACTTCACTCCTTAATTGCATGTGACAGCCGCTGAACGCATCCATTTCCCGCCACTTCATTTCAAAATTCGCGCGCACTATGTGGCAACGCCGCGTTGTACTATTGTCCGTTTAGAGAAAAAAAACTATCGTCCGGAAAAACTATCGTCCTAGCACCCCTCAAAGTTGTGGCGGAGAAAAATTAAATCACGTTTTTTTACCTTTTTTCAAAATTAGAAAAATATAGAATTAAAAAAAAAATCAGAAAATTGGATTTTCTAATTATTTTACAATTAAAATTATAAATCAATACCCCAGAAAAAATGTTGACAAATAGAGGAATTTCGGAATTTGGCCTCTTTGTGAATTTATGCGCGCTTTTCCTCTTTGCCATCAAAATTTATTTGAGCCGAAACAATAACATTATATTTTGCTTTGTTTTCACCCGTAGCTGTTTTGTGTGCCCTTCTTTGTCGGCCGCACGCATTATGGGCTCTTTTTTAGCGACCTCCACACACAAGAGGAGAGACAAAAGTGTATGTTTGTGTGTGGTGCGGTTGGAGGCTTTTTTAATCAGCTGCCGCTTGTCAAATGACTGCTGGGCCGCCGGGTCAAAGGGCGGCGCGCACACATCAAAGCAATTGGCTTCCGATAAATTCAATTAAATTAATCCGCCTCCTCGCCAGATCCATCTCCCCGTGTACGTGGCAAAAACACGCTCGCGCTTTGCGTCACGTTTGTGTTTGCCGCGACGCTTTACGGCTCAGGTGTGTTTAAACAAAACTCGGCGCGGAAAACGAGTGCCGAAGGAAAACAATTCACTCTTTGATGGACGAGGAGTTGTGATTGTTACGAACTCGGCGACGGCGGTTCATTCGAGAAAAGAGAGACGAATCTGGTTCCACTTTAACTTGTGCAGAGGTTCTGCCTTAAGTGAAAAGTTTCGTTCCTGTTTCGCGAGATTTACTGCTAATCCTACCTTTGGGGGGCGCATGACGCTGTGCAAATAGTCGCTGGTGTGCTCTGCGTACTCCCTTACCTGCAACATATTAATCGAACACATTAAAACTTTATAACTGGCAAACTTTTAATTATTATTGATCACAGAATGTTTGATTGCAGAAAAAAATGAATGGAAATATCACAATCAAGGGTCAAAATAATTGCAAACGCATAGATAAATTTTATTGAAGAAATTGGCACTCAAAGAGAAGATCATGGAAGTGAAAAAAACTGTTTTTCCGCATTGGAAAATTTTATTTTTATATAAATACAAAACGGCTCTACCAGTTTCGGTTTCGGTCTGAGGCCCTATTTCATGAGCAAGAAAAAACAAAGAAGTTTTTCAAAATGGAATTCAAACCATGGGTTGTAACAATTTGATGACTAAACATCATTATAATAATATAAAAAAAAATCAGCAAAATTAAATCTCCACTTTTAAAGATTTAAAAACAGTCTTGTTTTTAAATTTTGCTGACTTTTTCTTGCTCGTGAAACAGGACCGCAGACTGTGAGCAAAACTTGTAGAGCCATTTTGCTTTTTAATAAACAAGACAAAGCTCGCTTTCTTTACATCAAACATAGTTTGAATGTTTTCATTCTTGCTGGAATTTTATGTGTTTTTAATATGCATAGATTTTTAATGAATTGAGTTATTTTTTTTTTACATTTTAATTTTTACATCCCGAGTAGCCTTATCAACCCAGCCTACCTTATCGCTTTCATAAAAATATAAAAAGTTAGACCATTTTTATAAAATTTACTTAAAAGAGCTATAAATTATTTTAACTGTTGTTTTTTTTTTCATTTTCTGGTAGAATTTCAAGATCGAGGGATTCATAGTGATTTGAATTTTAAAAAAAACCGCTTTTCCTCGATGGGTTTTGGGAGTTGTTAATTGTTTAAAAAAAAAGCAATATCCTGCTCTACATGTTTCGACTCCAGGCTGCAGCCATAATTTCTGAAGTGTGAAATAATTTTTGACAAAAATTAGTACAAAAATCAATCTCTTAAAATATTTTTCTTTCAAATTAACAATTTTTCTGTGAATTTTTTTTTTTATCTCACATAATAAACAACTAATAACCAAATCACGAAACCCATTGAGGAAAAGGTTATTTTTAATTCAAATCACCATGTTTTTTACTTGTTCATTAATTATTTCTGTGATAAATTTCGTCATTTAAAATACTTCAGTAAAAATCTTACAGAAAATTTAAATTCGATCAATTTATTCTCTTGAACCAAGTTGTAAAGAAGATGGAGAAGATATATTCAAGTTTAGCTAGCTCTAAGGTGTTGAATTTCGGGTCAAACTGCAGGCCGGAGATTGAGTTTCGGTTCGCTGCTCGGAGGGGGGTGTGAGAGAGTCACTTGTTGGACTTGCGAAAGCGATCTTCGGAGAGAGCAAGAAGTTTGCACTCGGTGGCCACGCTCGGCCAGCTAATTTCTGAACAAGCGAGGTGTGTTTGCGTTGCTTTGTTTGCGGCCGGGGGGAGCCAAAGAAAAACATCAACTCAATTACAATGCTGGCCAACCGAGCGAAAAATTGTCCTCGGCAGTTCGGAATTTTTAGATGCGCGCGAATCGATCGCAGCTCGAGAGCGGCGGCGGCGACGGGTAAGTCCGTGCGCGCTGCCGTGAAGCTGCAGCCGGCGCTCTTTCGCTAAGGGGATTACTCAAAAACTAACTTTCAATCCGCTTACGGTCGACGACTCAAATTATTGCAACTCTTTCCGCTGTTTATTTATTAACCACACCTCCGGGCCATTATGAGCAGAATGACTCTTTTTGCGCGCGCCTTTTTTTCCACCAGCAAAAAATTATTCTTGATCTTTACTTTCGATATTTCGCCTCTTTTCCGCTCGCACAAAATTCTGCAGCACCTGTTCGGAATCGTAGCAGGCGTGCGAACTCTTGCAGACGGCGCGGGGGCAGCCGATCAGAAAATTGAGCAGGTCCCCTCGGAGCCAGGCTGTCCCACTGCCCGCAACAGTGCATTAATCTCGCTGGCATGCAGCTGCACATTCCGAACCACGTCTTGCAGAAAACATTCGGACCGATGTATGTAACGGTTATTAAAAAATTCTTCAGTGGAAAAGTTGCACAATGCTGGGACGACGAAGAAAACAACCACGTTTTCAAAACGGACAAAAAGATCAAAGAGCACGGTTTCATGCCCATCATTAGGCAAGCTGAAGGAGAATAACAAAGCTTTGTTCAAGAATAAGAATGCTCTTTCTTATATAGATGAGATTAAAATTAATAATTTGAACTTCCTTTAGAATTTACAAAAATTAAAAATGTTTAGATCGGTGATGTTTAATCTGAAATAAATCTTTGAAATTTGTGTCGTCTTCATTTACATTAGTTGAGAAACTAAAAATGAATTTTTGTCCATTATCAGACTTTTTAAGAAATCAATATCTTCTTTTAATGGATAATTCTACCAACATGTTGTGCATGATTTTTTACTATTATTTCTGTTCATTTTCCTACGAAATTTATTAAAAGCATAGGATTTTGTAAGGAACAAAAAATTTACTTAATATGTTTTGAAAACCAGTGCTCATCTTCAATTTTTAAAAAAACCGGCTCAAAAGAAGACTTTTTGCTCTACAACGATAACCTGGTACTTTAACAACTAAAATTTGAAATTTTGTGGTAGAAGTTCAAATAGGTAGCTTTGAATAAATTTTTACAAAAAAAAAAAAAAAAAAAAAATGTTAATTTGGAAGAAAAATGTTCCATTTAAAAGGATTCAATCTTGTCAAAATGATTTCACACTTCATGAATTATGGCTGCAGCCAAAACATGTAGAGCAGGATATAGTTTTTCTTTTAAATAATAAACAACTCACAAAACCCATCGAGGAAAATTCGATTTTTGAATTCAAATCACCATAAAATTTGAAAGTTGAGATCTTGAGACCAAAAAATTTGCCTTTTCTTTCGAAAAAAAATGGACTATTTTGCCCATATGAATTATGAATAACATAACATCTTTTACTCTTCCCCAATAGAAATAAAATTTCTTATCCTATCAACATTCTATAAGTAATTGCACTAATGACTTGAGTAATTAAGTATATAAACGTAATTAATTCAACAACTCGGATGCTGATCCGATATTAAGGGGTTACTTTAAGAAATTAGATAAGGATTTGTGGTGCAGTAATTTTTGGATGGATTCCGAGGATCCGGCACAGGTAAGAACACTTTGAGGGCCGCAAGAAAGTCGCCCCCTTTAACGAATCAAAGGATTTTGTGCGCCGCGTGGCGCGGGAACACCGAGATCGCATCTTTAATTCGGCGTTAAGTAACTTCCTTTCTGCTCTTGGCGCTCAAAGGCAAAACGCAATCTCGCTAATGTCAGAGCAAAGTCGGAGTAGCAGAGGAACCGAAAGTTTCTGCGGGCAGAAAACGGTTGTTGTGCAACGAAAAATGTTGTTTCGCCGCGCGTGTATCAGCAGCAGCAGCAGCGGAGTGCGTTACTTGAGGAGTTGCTAGTTTGCGGCAGAGGTCCGCCTTAGGGCTGCCGCAGGATTCAAACAAATGTCAAATTCAAGCAAGAGCCTGTCAGCGCCAAAAATGGGTAATTAAGGGCCGGACTTTGTGCGACGGAGAGTGCTGGGGGCGCTGCGGCATACAACATGGTTGCAGAGAGCGAGGGCACCTTGCTCGCGCGGGCGGTGCACCTGCTCCTTCGCAAGTAGACATTTTTGACGAGGGGAGCCACAGAGAGAGGAATGGAAACTGCAGAGACGAGTTCCAAATCCACACGGGCGGAAAATCGATTTTCATTAAAAGCGAGAGTAACAACTCCTTTGACGGTGGACGACGGATTATTTATGGGATTGGTGGAATTTTTTCCAGATCCGGCCCCACATTAAAGACAAACAAGTGCAGCGTCCTCTATAGACGTCGACTCGGCCCTTTTTCTTTTTCTCTCTCTTTCAAAAAGTAATTAAATTAATCCCGAGTAAAGAGAAAAGAAGAAACTCTCAGCAATTTTCCATTGAGCTAATTGTAAGGCAAATGTGAGGGTCGCCTACATTCATCATAAAAATTCCCTTCATCCAAAAGAAAATTATATAATTTTACAATTCCTTTTGTTATGTAAAAAATTTCAGATAAAATGTTTGGAAATTAAAATATTTAAAAGGAAATTTTCAAGTCAACTTTGGTAAGCTCTTAAATTCAACAGCAATTGCGTTAATAATTCTGATCCTCTTAATCTTGCAAGTCAAATAATGAATTTAGCTGAAAACTTGGCACAGTACGGCGGAGAGTGAATTTAGTGCAAGTGACGGGCTCCCCGAATGAACGCCAAAGTGGCAGAAATGAAATTATCTGTTGACTCTCGCTCGGGCAGAGTCGTAATTTGTTTTCCTTTTGGGGTGCGCGCGAGAGGGAAATTGATTCGGCAAAAGACGCTGCCGCCGCGTTTTAATATTCATATTTGCGCAGTGTGTTAAAATCTTAGTTAACCCTACTTAAGCTCTTCACAAGCCGGCTGCAAAGTTTGTTTTGAAAGAGACGAGCATACTTTGCGAATCCTCTTCATTCGGAGAGGGAATAAGTTTTTCGGGCCCGCACACTTAATTGTAATGTGATTTTTGTTACAAATTACGCGGTGGGCGCGCAGAAATAAGAAGGAATGGCCACGGGGGAGGCGCAGGGCTGGGGTTTCTTGCTCTTATTTGAATAAAATTACGCGAGCGGAAACAATGCGCGCGCGCGTTCCCTTTCTTTCTTTCTTTCTCTCGGCTGTTTTTACCCCGCGTCTTGAGAAACGCAATTTAAAAGTTTGTCAAATTGCGTTTTTCTGCGCGCAAACAAAAAAACGCGTATTTTTGTTGCGGATGTGATGGACGCAGCAGCGGCAGAGGCTTTCTTGGTGAACACTCACTCGCTCGACGGCAGTGTTTTAATCTCGACGCAACCCCGAGCGCATTCTCTCTTGGTGTGCTCGCGATTATTCAATGGCACACATTCATCTCTCGGCAAGGAGGATTTCGCGAAAAATTCCAAGACA